CTCTTAGCGAACGATTAAGTGTGTGTGAATGTGTCTTAGAACAAATTAGATCTCTCTTAATTCATTCTACATGCAATTGTAATTCTAGTCGCGATGCTAGGTTACAAAAGATATCAGTTAAATTATTGAAACACAAATTAAACGACATTCATGCAATTAAACCGACAAGAATCTAGCCATCAATCATGATTAACCCCTTCATCAACCCCAAATCCCTAATTAAACTACTCACGCCTCATAATTGACGAATCAAAAGAATTGGGATGAATAGAATAAATTGTCATTAATTAAAAGAATTGAACTTACAAAGAATCCCATGTTCTCGAAGTAAACAACGTAAAAACGCAAGTAAAACTCGTCCTAGGCCTCTCCACAAAGTTCGTAAACCCTAAAAAGGGGTATGAAGGCCTTATTTATAGAAAACAGAAGAATTTGAGCTGAAATAGGACAAATCGGGGCCAGACACGATGCCAGACACGATCGTGCTTGCGGAGCATTCACGCGTATTGATTGCAAACACGATCGTGCCTGGCCAGGACACGATCGTGTCTGGCTGGCAGTGTCTCGGCGTGCAATCCTTAATGCAGGCACGATCGTGCCTGACCTAGGCACGGTTGTGCTTCACATTTTCTTCATCTTTTTTCTTCGTTTCTTGCTCCAAATGCTCTCGAATGCCTACGAGGTCGATCCAAATGCTCTTTCTTCATCAGAATTTCGTCGTGAATCTCCCGGTGACCTCCAAATCTCTCAAATCCTCTTCGAATGCCTTCAAATCCTTCCCGAATGCCTCTCAAGCGCCGATTGCCGGACTCTAACTTCTTCAATTCAACTTCAATTGCAACGAAATTCGACCCAACGCCTGCTAAACACAACTTGAGCCAAAATTGAGACTTGCAATGCCTTAAAGCCAGGAAAACCATCAAAATCCGACCCGAACACGCATCAAATGCGTGTCTAAATACGGACTTATCAGACTCCCCCACACTTAAGCTTTTGCCTGTCCTCAAGCAAATCGAACAACAGGACTTACGATAATCGCCACACGGAATTTAAAACAGTTAGCATACACACGTAGTTAAAGGGATATTCACAGGACAGACAATCAAAACCAAGAAAATTCTTCCCTAAACTACATCTTTATACTCAAGCTAAACTATTTGACACAATTATTCACAACATACTCAAAGTAATGACAGCCTACACAAACCAACTAACTACTGATCAGAAGGACTTGTGAATGTGGTGGTGAATGGTTAACAATAATAGTCCCTTTCTTTTGAGAGATTTGAAATATTCTAACAAAGACTCAATGTATTCAGCAACTTCAGGGCTATTCTTTTGGAACAAGGAACTCAGTAGGCCACAATTTAGGAACAATCATTTAAACCTATGCAAAAAGTAGACATGGTGTACAACTAAGCTAAACCGTCTCGGCACATTTGTGCTTTGACGTATACTTGAAGTACGCGGAGGACTAAAGCTAATTTTTGCAATAGCCTCCAAGTTCAATTAATTAGGTTAAGTTTTTCTTGTCATGTTGGCACGAGAACGCCGTTTCTTTCGAAAGATACGCAAGTCTCATCTTACGCTTTTTGACCGGGGCTCCCATTCTCTTTTTTGAAAAGTAAGAGGTCTAGCTATATTAATTTTTCACCTTTCGGATTCTCACTAGACATTACCCCATTCTAATCTCGGCCTCACCAAGGAAAAAATTGCAATTTAAATTCATTAATTTCAAAGTGAATCCATGCCTACAATGCAATCCTCGAAAGTATTATATTCCTAAAAAGTGACTGCTCTTACCCCCATTTGGGGCATAGGAACAGTGCCAAAAATGGCTCCTACACACAATTCCTAAACTTAACAAATTAATCCCCTAATTCCCTAAACATCAAGACTAAGCCAGAAATATTCACGGGTAAGGAAACAAGCCATTTTATATTAACCTAATATAAAATCAATTTGAAATTTAATGTGCCGCGACGGTTTAGCTTAGTTGTACACCATGTCTACTCTTTGCATAGGTTTAGATGATTTTTCCTAAATTGTGCCCTACTAAGTTCTTTGATCCTAAGAATAGCCCTGAAATACCTGAATGCATCAAGTCTTTGTTAGGATGTTCCAAACTATAAAAAAAGGGACTGTTTATTACCATTCACCATTCACCACCACCTTCACAAGTCCTTCTGATCGGTAGGTAGTTTATTAGAGCTTGCTCTCACTACTTTGAAGATGTTGTGAATAATTTTGTCAAATATTTTAGCTAGAGTACAAAGATGTAGTTTAAGGAAGAATTTTCTTGGTTTAGTTTGTCTGTTCTGTGAATATCCCTTTAACTACATGTGCATGTTAATTGTTTTAATTCCGTGTGGTGATTATCGTAAGTCCCGTTGTTCAGTTTGCTTGAGGACAAACAAAGACTTAAGTGTGGGGGAATCTGATAAGTCCGTATTTTGACACGTATTTGATGCTTGTTGAGATCGGATTTTGATGATTTCCCTAGCTTTATGGTGTTACAAGTCTCAATTTTAGCTCGAGTTATGTTTACCGGGCGTTGGTTCGAGTTTTGTGTTGTTTGTAGTCAAAATTAGGGAATTTGAGCCCGGCACCAGCACTTTAGGAACAATCGGGATGATTTGAGAAGCATTTGAGATTGATTTGATAGCTTTGAAGGTCACCGGGAGGTTCACTATGAAGATTTGAAGGAAAAAGAGCTCTAGGATTGGCTTCGGGATCAAAAGAAGATGAATGAAGCTTGAAAACGACTATCAGAATGACCTTCTGTCAGTTGTTCAAGCATATCTCTTTGTAGGAAAAACCAATGGACACGATTCAAGTTTTATATGAAATCCAACTTCAAGGGCTACAAATCCTATGAAGACACCTTTGTGAGAATCTAGAGAAAGAAGGTGAAAACAGACGATGAAGTCAGATGATCTCTGCTGCGATTTCAGAATGATACCTTCCACCGTTTTGATCATATCTCTTGATTGGATGATTCAAATCACATTCGGCAAATTGGGATGGATAGAGCACTTCATTATCTACAACTTTCATGAAAGAAGTTTTGTCAAATTCGGAAGTTTGACGCACACCGTGCGTAGGGGAGCGCACGATCGTGCGTCTGAGGCGAGAAAGCAAGAGAGCCACTGCCACGTACGCACGATCGTGCGTGGCAAGGTACGCACGATCGTGCGTACCCCCGAAACGCGGATTTCAGCCCCTTTTTAGTCCCAGTTCAGCCCAAACTCATCTGTTTTCTATAAATAAGACCCTCATACCCATATTTTGACGTGACGAACATTACGGAAAGGCCTAGGGACGAAAGTACTTGCGTTTTTAAGATTGTTTACTCAAGACCCTGAGATTATTTGTAAGTTCATCTTTTTAATTAATGACAATTATTTTTATTCCAATTCTATTGATTTTTCAATTATGAATTGTGAGTAGTTTTAATTGGGGATTTGGGATTGATGAAGGGGTTAATCATGATTGATGGCTAGATTCTTGTTGGTTTAATTGCATGAATGCTGTTTAATTTGTGTTTGAATAATATAACTGATATCTTTTGTAACCTGGAACCGCGGCTAGAATTACAATTGCTTGTAGAATAAATTAAGAGAGATCTAGTTTACTCTAGGACACCTTCACACACACTTAATCGTTCGCTAAGAGATTAGTAGCGATTAAGGGGCCGTAAGCTCGCTCGTCTTGACAATAATTTAAGATCCTGTCGCATGAGAGATCAGCCTGGTCCCCTAAATTATTGTACTCTACGCCACGAGAGCGGTAAGAACTTAGTAATGATTAGCTAGGCTCAATTAAATTAGTTTCATGTAATTAGGCCTGATCAGCCAGAAATCTGGTCACCCCAGAATCAATCCTTGTTCCCTTCGTCATTAATTAGAAAGAACCCCCTAGTTTAATCGTTTTATTCGCATTTTTATTTTCCAGCAACCAATCTCGCACAACGCGTTTTTATTTATTTCTTTTTAATCGCTGAATTTAATTAATCTTTGATTCCCTTTTGTCCGTCCCTGTGGAGACGATACTCATACTTACACCACTATATTACAATCTATTTTAAGTGCGAGAAAACACACATCAGGTAACATTTGAGTGGTTAGAATTCATTCTTACTTTATTCACACTTTATCAATTCAATACCAACCACACAATTCTACTTTTTCTTAAAAATCACACAACACTCCTTTGTCCCAAACTTAGGGGGACGGAGGTAGTATATCCTATAAGTTAGTCAATATACGGCTCGGATGACATAGATTGACTATTACAAGTCTTCATATTGACTTGTAAATCCCATACAATCATTCGGCATTCTCCATACACGACTAATTTGTGAAAACATGATATCTTAGATATTGGTCATATTTAATTATGGATCGCATGGAGTATACTCGAAATGTATATCTATCATACTATAAAAGCAAAATCTTTTTTTACTGTTCAAAAAACAGTGTTCCCGCCCATTGCTTAAGGGAAAGGTAGTGCAATACGGAAGTTACAAGAAAGACCCTTTGAAATGGAAGAATTACATGTATTCATGATTAAATTGAACTGTTGGGCCGTAAAAAAATGAAGGACACATGGGGCGCCTCATACAGAGCTGAACAACACCCTAACTAGCAAAAGAAAATGTACTGTTGGTTGATTGAAAAGGCATCTTCATCTGATTTTGGCGGCTGGTGCATCTAATATCTGAAACATCAAAAAATTGCTATCATTACATTTGATACGTTTTTTAATTCATGCTGTATTATTTAGAAATATAATGTAAATCAGTTGTGTAAAAAAATTGGAAATTAATAATTTTTTGCAAATATACACACTAAACTGGATTGATTTGATTAGACCTGCAATTGAAGTGCTTGACAGCTCATTTTGGCCCATTATACTAAAAATCAATGGATAGATGCATATACAATAATATTTCTCGGTTTCTATAAATAGCCATGATAGCCATCACATTTTAACCATCCTTGAGTTCAGTCCAACACACTATTCTACCCATAACCATCCTTGAGTTCACTCCGAAGCACTGTTTTACCCAAAATGGTTGGTATGTGGTCTTTAGTAAATGAGTTTCATCAGGGGAAAACTGCTTGGGCATTCAAAGCCAGAGCAGTGAGGGTGTATGAAATCCCTGCCTATGGGATACATGGTGAATCTTTGCAGTGTATCTTCCATGATTCCGAGGTATTTTTAATATTTCAAAGATATAATTCTATTAATAAAGTTGCTGTATGTACTAATAATTCTTTACACAGGGAACCAGAATTCATGCACACATTGGTAAGCTACAGGTTGCAAGGTTCCGAGCCATGTTTAAGGAGGGAAATGTCTATGCAATCAGAAATTTCTTGGTTCAGGACAACTACATGAATTTCAAGACAACAAGGAATGAATTTAAGTTGTTGTTCATCCAACGAACTGAAGCTTTTCAGATTTCTAAAATCAATTTCCCAATGCGAATGTTTGACTTTAAACCTATTAATACTTTGGTAGCTGAAGAGGTGGTTGATGAAACCCACGCCATTGGTAATTTTTTCATAAAAAATAGTTAAGTTAATTAAACTCGATGTTTAATAAGAAACACTTTTATGAGGTTGTTATCTCTTTTAGATGTGATTGGCAAGATAACTTCCCTGTCAAACCCCAAGCTTCTTACGAAGAATGGTAGGCAGACTCAGTTAGTTGATCTTACCCTCGGAGATGCAGTGTAAGTTTTTTTTAAAATATTGAAACACAGTTTGATATACAGGTAAGCAATTAAAATTTAGAAGTGACACGTGTATTATAAATGTAGTGGAAATAGTATCTCTTGCACCCTATGGGAGGACTTGGTTGATCAATTGGTTGCCTTTCTGGAGTCCAAACCCAAGTCTATCATTCTTATTCTTCAATTGTGCCGTGCAAAAAAATTTCAGGGTATGTCGGAAATCCTCTATGAAGATCAGTTTTGTTTGTTGATTTTTTTAACACCTTTAAATATTCAGGTCGTGTGAGTGTGACCAACATGTTCAATGTGACCAAGATGTTTCTAAACAGCGACAGTGAGGAGTGTGAGGAGTTTAAAGCCACGTAAGAAATTGTTATTCTGTAAAAAGACATGTTTTCACTTTTATCATGTTTTGTGGTTTACTTACTTTGTCTTCTGAATTTATAGGTTTGGTCCAGATAATGATGACGATGCCGACGGACTGGTCCTTGGTAGCTTTGTTACACCTGCTTTGCAAGATGACCTTGCAAGCGGAAAAGTACCTTTGGTTTCAATCAATGACCTAATTCAAATGAAGGAGGTTCTGATATACTATTGATCTGTGTTTTTATGTTCTGTGATTTAGTTCATATATAATAACAGTGTTATTAATTTACTACTGGGTTATATGTCACTGTATATATTGGTTACTTAAATTGTAGGATGGAAAACATTGGGTCTATGGAGAGATATTGGCAATTGATAGTTACAAGGATTGGTACTATATTTCTTGCAAGGGGTGCAGTAGGAAGGTGACACCTGAGGGCGACTCTTTTCGGTGTGGTGTGTGCAACACAGCAGAAGTGGTTCTGAGGTTATATATTCTTCTGTCTGCCTAAAATTTTGAATAACCATCCAACAGACATATGCTAATATTTTTAAATGTCTCAGGTACAAAATTAATGTTAGGGTCATGGATGACACAAGTCATGCCTCATTTGTTTTTTGGGACAAAGAGTGCATAACTTTGATTGGGAAAACAGCTAATATTCTTCGTGATGAGACTGAAGAGGTGTTGTGTGTGTGATTTTATGTTTTTAATAATGGATATTAAATGAATCTACGAAATTTAATTTTTTTGAGTTTTGTTAACTATACAGAAAAATATGGGACCATACTATTTTCCGGTTGAGATTGATGGTTTGGTTGAGATTAAGGGGTTGTTTCGAGTTCATGCAAAGAGGGAGAGCATTTGTTACAGAGGTGTTCCTACATTTAGCGTTATTGGAATGAATTGTGATCCCACAATTCTCTCTTTGTACAAGTACAAAGGAAAAGTTGATGAAGAAGAGGATGATTTTACACTTCTAAAGAAGGAGTTTTCTGTGGATGAAGAGGTATGTGAACTGGATTCCTAACATGTTAAGATGATATAAATTGTGATATAAATTGTTTTTATGTGTACACTTTTTCAGGTTTTCACAGTAAATGAAGAAGAGAAAAGCCCTTTGTTGACAAAAAAGGAAAGGGAAGCAGTTGTGGTTAACCTGGATGGGATCAAGAGGAAGTTGTTTGCAGAGCCATCACCTGTCCAGCCAGCAAGGAGGCTGAGGACAGTCAAAGTGGAGAAGCCTTAGGCATGTGTTTTAGTTTTTTGTTAATGGGCCCTTAAAACAGTTTTGTAAAACATGGGATGTATATCCTATGTTTTTTTGTGGTATGGGCCCTTGGAATATAATTTTGTGGTCTGTTCTATGGCATGGAACAACTTAAGGAAAGGATTGGGTTATGCTACAAACTTTTGATAAGGATTAATTTGTTATGTTATCTATTTTGATCCAAAGTTTGTATGTAATGGTGTGTATTTTGCCAATTGTATTGTAACCTATTCTACACGTAATGATATCTATGATGCCTTCTCATTGCTATTATTATACCTGTTCCTGGCATTTACAGTTTTGCACTTGCAACCAAATATTACATTTGTTTGGTTATGAAATTGAATATTGTTCAATTTAACTCATCCAATATTTAGTTAAATAGATTCTGATATATTCTGCTCAACCCTAATAAAAATGAGTGTAAATATATGTTATGAAATAGATTCATGAATATGTACATGTAAAGTTATTTTGGCTATAGTGTATATGTTAAAAAATATAATTTGCATTCTAACCAAAATTATTTACTGAATGGATATTCTGATGTAAAACATGTACATAAATACATAATGTACATTTTAATCTTAAACACGTACTCTATATATTTTATGGGAACTCTATTTAAAATAGCTTATGTAAAATAAGTAAATTACATCAGAATATACATTCAGTAAACAAATTTGGTTAGAATGTAGATTATATTTTACAAATTATATTTAAGAATATGTGCATAATAATATGAAATTATTATGGATGTAGTAAGGTCGATGTTAATATACATAATATCCATTTTAATTTTAATCTAAAATATGTATCCGTTGTACCTTTTAGAAATAATAACTAAAATTAAATGTACATTCTGATGTAAAACATGTACATAAATACATAATGTACATTTTAATCTCAAACATGTCCTCTATATTTTTTTTATGAGAAACTCTATTTAAAATAGTTTATGTAAAATAAGTATTTTACATAGTGCATAGTAATCTGAAAATATTATGGACATGATGTAGATGCACGGTGGGTGAATGTTGTATGAACATTATGTAAAATAAAAGGCCCGATAGATTTTCAATAATGTGCATAGATGACTAATAAAAGTAGGTGTAATTATGTAGTTCAGTTTGAAAACTAGCCATGATTACCCTCAAAAAGCCCCTGTAGATTTTCAGTAATGTGAATGGATGACTCTAATAAGTAGGTGTAATTATATTATTTAAAATGATTATGAACATAATATATACAACTTGATATACAAATTGCACATTTTACTCTAAAAATTGTATGTAATGTACATTTTAGAAGAATTATGTTTATCATGGACATTTTTAAAAAATAATGAATAATGATGAATATGTAAAATAATTAGTCTAAACTAATGTACATTTAAAAGAATGTACAAGTTAAAAAATTATTATAATAAAATAATTTGGAAGTGCATGGTCCTATGTTTTAATTTCATATTTAAATATTAGTGTGAACTCCGATAGTATTTAATTATTTAAAAAACGTTTAAATTTGTCAATATTATACAAAATAATGTTATCACACATAAGTATTGCTTCATAATTATTGGGATTCATTAATTGCAATTTGCAATTTTTTAAACATAATTATAAGTCATTAGTCATTAGTCATTTATTTAAAAAGCAAAGTATAGCTCCGAAAAAGTAGATAGCAACTTCGTATGTACAATCAGATTTAAAAGGTAGGGCTTATATTATTATTCAATTCTAAAGGTAGGTATGATTACATGGATGACACTAATAAGTAGTTATAATTATTACATTTAGTACTCCAAAACCTTTTTGCACATGAGGATTATAAATTGTTCCAAAAGTAGGCATGATTACCCTGAAAAAGCCCATGTAGATTTTCAGAAATGTCAATAGATGACTCTAATAAGTAGGTGCAATTATATTATTTAAAATGATTATGGACATAATATACAGCTTGATATACAAATTACACATTTTACTCTAAAAATTGTATGTGATGTACATTTTAGAAGAAATATGTATATCATGGTCATTTTTAAAAACATAATAAATAATCATGAATATGTAAAATATTTCTTCTAAACTAATGTACATTTTAAAAAAATTACATGTTACAAAATTATAATAAAATAATTTGAAAGTGCATGGTCCTATGATTTAAATTCATATTTAAAAATTAGTGTGAACTCCGATAGTATTTAATTATTTCAAAAACGTTTAAATTTTGTCCATAATATACAAAATAATGTCATCACACATAAGTATTGCTTCAAATTTATTGGGATTCATTAATTGCAATTTGTCATTTTTTAAACATAATTATAAGTCATTAGTCATTAGTCATTTATTTAAAAAGCAAAGTATTGCTCCGAAAAAGTAGATATGGAGTCCGTATCTTCAATCAGATTTAAATAGTAGGATTTATACTCCATATAATTATTCAGTTCTAAAGGTAGGCATGATTACCTACAAAAGGCACCTGTTTTTCAGTGATTTGCATGGATAGTTCAAATAAGTAGGTATAATTATTACATTTAGTACTCCAACACCTCTTTGCACGTGATGTGACTGAAGAGTGTCATTATTACTCTGAAACCAGCCGTTTTTACTTGCATAGAGGGGTCATTGTTTCTGTGGTTTTTACGAAAAAAAGGGTTGCAACATGTAAAATAATTTGTGACATGGGTACTAAAAATAAGGGGCACAATTATTACCGATATTATGACTTTTGCAAAGAATTTAAAGAATACCTAATTAAATATTAAGGAGTACTGTATACATAAATAGAGGTATTTATTTATAAGTATAAAAATGATTGAAAGATGGCGTTGACATTGTATTATACGTAGTTTATTATAGTGATGGTACCGTGTATGGTACTATGTAGTGCATTCACTTTTAATAAGTGATGGTACAGTATAAAGTGACATGATTACTATAAAAAGGTAGCCGTTTTTTCAGTTGTAAAATTTGAAAGGTCATTTTTGGGTTTTAAGCACTTTAAAGGTGTTTGTGTTATGTATCTAAAAGTATTCTGATAAGAAATACTCAAATGTATTGACACCACAAAGAAAATATTTTTTGTAAACGTATTATTATAATTAAAAAAACAAACTCTTTGCATTGATATATTTATATACTCCGTATTTATTATACATAGCACATGAAAAAAATATTATGCTGGCTATTCGTATTTGTTGTAGTAGATGGAATGATTACTAATAGCCACAATTAAGTGTGATTTGCAACTGAAAACACCTTTTTAGGTCACTTGATTACTCATGTAAAGAGGGATAAGACAACTAAAGAAATAAGCCGTCTTAGGCTCCTGTCAGATGTGACATTTGGGTGGCCGTCGTGTTTCTAAACTCAATAAAGGCATCCATTGTAAAGATGCTTTTATATAAATAGAGGGTTTCACCTACTCACTTCCTCATCCTCTCCACGTCAAAGAGTAATCAAAGCATTGGAGTTAAAGTTTGAAGTTAGTTTTGTACTTGCATCAGGTAATAACTTCCGAAAAATATAAGAAGTTATCATTTAACATCAGTTGAGATGTGTTGTCTTTCTTATTTTTAGACAACCATTTCTACTGGGCATTGGTAGACTCCTTTAATATTCAAATTTCTTTTTACCCTACTCCTGTTGAGCATTCTCTTACTATAAATAATAAATGCACATCTGATTTTTAAAAATCTGCTTTAGTTTGCACTTATGATGGTAACTTCTATTAAATTTTGAGATGATTTCTCAAAGACAACTTCCACTGAAGTATTTATAGAAAGCAATATGACGCATGACAATTTTTCAACTATTTGCAAAACCGAGTGCATAAACCATGTTATGCAGTGTTTTACATGACACTTTATTCAATTATGCTAAAGGTGAAATCGAAAAAATATGGTATGCATGAAAATTAAAGCATGTATTGCTTATACAAAATCGAGTGAATAAATTTTTTTTCTTAAAATACTTCTACTAAAATGGTATGCATGAAAGCTAAAACAGGCATTACACTTTTCCAAATGAAATTTATGCATCTCAATTTTAAATTATAGGTTGTGGGGCATGGGGAAAAAAACTCTACCCAATATGGTATGCAGTGAATGTGGTAGCAGTGAACTGGGATATTTGATAGTAAAGTGTTCAGTGTGCACCAACGCAAAGCATCGGTATTGTATGACAACAGTGTCCTTTGATCCGGCTTTTACATGGATGTGTGATGAATGTAAGGCTGTGATTAACCAAATGCATGATCTGGACTCATTTGGGATGGTTCCAGAAATAAAACCTGAGATGGAAATGGCGGAAGATCTTCCATTCCAACCATTTCAAATTCCGGTGAAGGAAGAAGTGTTGGAGATGGATGATGTTCTGCCCTTTGCAGCTGAGGTGAAGGAGGAGGTTGTGGAGCCGGGTTACCAGGCTGGGACCTCTCAGCCTGAACCATTGATGGTTTCGTTTTCTGAGGTCCACCCTGAGCCCATGGAGGACATGGATGAGGCTGTTGAAATGGTTGTAGACCCACCAACTGCTAGACGTTCTCCCAGGAAGAGAAAGCTCAACAGAAAATATTTTGCTGCTGAGATAGTTGTTACGATGAGCTTTAAGTGGCTGACTGGGGAGGATGAGATTTAAAAATATGTTGATGGGTGCTTTTGTTATGTATTTAGGCTGGGGATGATGTTTTTGTATGTTTAAATATTATCTACCCTCCCCACTGTTTTGCATAAAGCCATATTTTAATGTTAATGTTTTTGGCTTATAATATGTATTTTATATAAGGATGATGGTCATGAACTATTTTGGATATTGATGTTCACTCATTTTGTGTATTGTGTTTTAACAAAACCATGTCTAAAAATTAACTTCTTTATTCGGTACATACTGCTTTGTAGTTCAGTAATTTGATCTTTTTTGTAATTTCAAAAACATTTATTTGTGGTTTTATTCTTGTGCTGGGAAGTTCCAGATAGAGAGACAATTGTGTTGAGGTTCAGTCGATAGCGATGCCTAAGCTCTTTAAGTCCACAACAGTCGGTCCAAAGAGGGGATCTGTGTCACAGTGTTCTACAGGTAAATACTTTTTTTCTACTTAAAATGTAAATGATGTATCATTGGTTTAACACACATGCAAGACTTTAAAAAGGTGGGAATAATTTAGAAAATCTAGATTGCACATATCAAGTTTTTGTAGGTATACTAGGACTGGTGTGAGTCACATTGCCATCTTATCATTCTTCTGGAAATAACATATATCAAAACTTACCAAGCATATGACATTCCCTTCATTGTGGGATTCACTGTTTTGTCAGTCCATGTACTAGAACCTTTTGCCTCTACAGAAATAGGGACAACAAAAAAACATTTATTAGCATTTTCTTGAATGATTTAGGACAGTTCATGAAAAATAACATTCAATTCATACAGAGAGTATATACCCATCATAATTAAACCAAGTGAGTAAGCGACTAATGCAGTGGTTTAGGGTGTAGGATTAAAATAGAAAAAAAGAAAACTTATTTTAAAGATCATTGAAATTTTGTTATACTTCACACCATACTTCATAGGTATCGGGTAGAATATACCAAGACCACACAATATAATCTCAAATAGGCTAATGCGTATAAGTTTACTTGCGTATAAAAAAGGATCATGTCAAAAACATATACCGTCCATGCATGTTTTCTAGATGGAACTTTTTATAAGTGTTAGATTAAAACAAAAATTAGGTGTGAATAATTAGGTGTGATTAAAACAAGAAATTATAGATTCTCTAAATCTGTTGTTTTCCAATAGGATGGTTTCAGTGTCAAAACATAATCTTCTCACACTACTTTGTGTCAATAATTAAACGGTTTGAGATCATCCTTGATTGATGTTTTCTTATGTTAGACTAAAATTAAAAACAGAAATAGGTTTACTGGATCGTATTATTACCTCCACGGTCGGATTCAAAGTTGTCATAGTCTGTGTGTTTGATTTCATGGAATATACAAAAACAAACAAAGTTAGTCACAAGCCGATAGTATGTATGAGTATTTTTAGAAAGCACTTAAGATGTGACAGTGTCTTCAAGTAACATCCAACTTGACATGTTACATACTACTTATAGAATGGTTCCTGTATATAAGGTATAAATGCCAGGGCTACAGAGAAAATGAAGAGGTATTCTTAATAGAGATACAAGTATTATTTCCTTAATGGTTACATCAGTATGTTTAGGGCATTAAACATATTCCTTCCGTTGAAACAGATTAGGTGATTACTCTTAAAAAAAATTACTACAAGACAAAATTGGTCTAGGTATGTGATTCCTGGAGGTTGATTTCAGTGGTACGCCCTTAGCTGTCATTACGTTGACAGCGTAAAAAAAGGGTTTGCCTTTGTGGGATGGCATAGGTGATATCAGATGGAATAATTTAGAAAATCTAGATTGCAAAAGTTATGTTAGCGAATCAGTAGACAAAAAAAGGAGTAGCAAATCTTATCGGTTGATATGTTGGATGGTATTTAAACAGTATAAAAATGAAAAATGTAATGTATTGGTGACCTGCGGTTATCCAGTAGTCTAAACATGGTAATTAAAGTGTGAAGTGAATAATTTGTAAAAACATAGTCATGTGTTCCCCGATGGCATAGATCTATAACACAGGTTGTGACACACACAGGTTGTGACACACGATAGTGAAATGTGATTGACAACTCGGTTTGAGAAAAACTTAGATTTTTTGAGTGTTAGATTAACACAGTAATAAGTTTACTAAATCAGTAGCATTACCTTCACGGTGAGTCTCAGCTCTGTGCCATTCTATGAGGATAACCTGTTAGCTTCTTCATGAATCAACCAAGATAGGCAGAACAAAACAATAGTATTAGTGTAGGTTGGAGAACACTTAATATTCGACAGATCATTCAAATAACAATATGACGGATCACCTATAAATAGTTTCCTATTTATGTTGTATCTATATCTAGGACTCCGAATATACTTTCAATGATAATTTAATCGCAAAAACTGATGATGTATATCTAATAGAAGTTATTTTGACTTGACTGTACACATTAATAAATTTCTAGAGTATGAAATTCCTTCGATTGAAACGCGTAATGTAATTTGTATTATAAAAGAATAGAGAATGTTATTGGTTCTATAAAATGAAAAAATTATAGATTCCCTCAATCAGTTGTTTTCCAATAGGATGGTTTCAGTGTCGAAACATAATCTTCTCACACTACTGTGTGTGAGTAATTAAATGGTTTTAGATAATCTTTGATTGATGTGTTTTTTTTAATGTTGGACTAAAATTAAAAACAGAAATAGGTTTACTGGATCGTATTATTACCTCCACGGTCCTATTCAATGCTGTCATAGTGTCTGTGTTTGATTTCATGGCATCTACAAAAACAAATTATAGACAAAGTTAGTCACTAGCCGATAATATGTACCAATATTTTTAGAAAACACTTAAGATGTGACAGTATCTTCAAGTAACATCCAACTTGACATGTTATATACTACTTATATAATGGTTCCTGTATATAAGTTACACATGCCAGGGCTACAGAGAAAACGAAGAGGTATACTTACTAGAGATAAAAGTATTTTTTCCTTAATGGTCATCCTCAATGTGTTTAGGGCATTAAACATATTCCTTCCATTGAAATAGATTAGGTGATTTCTCTTAAAAAAAAATTACTATCAGACAAAATTGATCTACGTATGTGATTCCAGGAGGTTGATTTCAGTGGTACGCCCTTAGCTATCATTACTAGACAGTGTAAAAAAAGGGTTTGGCCTTTGTGGGATGGCATAGGTTGCTATCAGATGGAATAATTTATAAAATCTAGATTGCAAAAATTAGGTTAGCGAATCAGTGGACTAAAAAAAGAGCAGCAAATCTTATCTGTTGAGATATTATAAGTCTTTTTGCCTTAATGGTCAACATCAGTGTGTTTAGGGCATTAAACATATTCCTTCCGTTATAACAGATTAGGTGATTTCTTTTAAAAAAATTACTTTCAGACAAAATTGGTTTAAGCATGTGATTCCAGTAGGCTGATAAGATGGGGTTCGCACTTAGCTGTCATTAAGTAGCAGTGTAAAAAAAAGGTTTTGCCTTTGTGGGATGGCATAGGTTGGTATCAGATGTGGTAACAACTAATTTTGTGGTTGATCCAAAACTGAGTTTGAGAAAATTTTAGAGTAAGACAGGTATAGATGCCAAGGCCACATAATATGATTAGTTTTTTGCATAATTTTGGCCAAAAATTTATATATTGGAAATATATGATTATGCAAATTTGGTATAAATGTGTTTTTTGTTAAAGGTACTATTATAAGTGTAAAAAATTGATAACTCTCATAATATATTATACTGACAAAAAGAATGGTTCAAATTTTGAGATTTTGCTAAACACCTAATGATGGTATGATAGTATATTTACAAATAAAGACGGATGTTTAATAAAAGTCAATTTGAGTAAACCATTCACATAAATGAACTATTTAGACATTATTCAAAAAACAATAATAAACAATACCCTGAAGCGATGGTTAAATAATTAACAATTCCTTTATAAACTTAAAATTAACGAAATAATTTTAATAGAAAAAATGTGGCCAGTATGTTTCTGTTGCAATTGTTCAAAAACATAGCCAGTCTTTAATAAATTAATGATTCTGCAGAGCTTCTTTATCCAAAAACAAGGTGGAGATAATAGCTGGATCTAGATACATCTAAACAAATAAAAAAACAAGATTGACATAATAGGTAGATCTATATACATCTAGACAAATAAATAAATAAATCACAAAGAACTTTACCTTCCCGATCAATTATGGTGGTTTGCGCATGCTGCTATCGAAGATATCAGCCCCCTCGAACAAATCACATGTGAAACAAAAAAAAACGAGATCAGTGCACCAAACATCTATGAAAGACATATAATGCAGTGTGAATCACTTAGCAAACTTACCCCTTGATGATCGAACGAGACACAGTCTAAATCGATATCCAGGGAGGCTGAAACCGTGGACTGAATGATGGGGGGATGGTTGTGCCAGGGAGTCGTTGTGCGAGACGGATAAGGCACAACGCCGAAGGGAGGTGTGTGGAAGAAGATTCGTATGGGGGAGTGGAGGGGGGGAGTGGAGATCTGTGCGATGGGGAGGCGGTGTGCGATACGCAGTTTGGACCGCTAACCCTAGCGTATGCTGGGGATATATATCGCCTCTTATCATCTATCATCTAACGGGAATATTGTGGGTGGGCTGGGCTTCTATTTGATATAGGAGTAAATAATAAATGTGTAGTTTGGGCTAATTCAATGATTTAAAATTATTTGGGCTGGAAGTGTTAGCTGATTTTGAACAAAAAATGTATTGTTAGATTAAGGATGTTTTTACTTGAACTGTAATTTTTTTGTCTGGTCTGGTCTGATCTGGTCTGGTCTGGTCTGGTTTCTTTGTATTTTTATAACTACCCAAGTCCGGTCTGGACTGGTCTGGTCTGGTCTGCACTGGTCTGGTCTGCTCTGGTCTGGGACAAATTACAGTGCAAGTAAAAACATCATAAAATTTTTGTATGATGTATATTTTTTCAATAATTTTATGTATTATAATTTTAATGTTCATTTTCATTTTAAATTACTTTCATCAAATTTGATTTTTAGGAAAAATAATTAAAATACCCCAAACTTTGAAGGGGTGTGCGGTAAGCACTCCAAATTTGCAAATGTAATTTAAATACCCCAAACTTTATATAAAAAGTTATTTCAGCACCATGGTCATGTATTATTTCTTTTAAAAATGTT